CTGCGCCTGTGCGCGAGTGACCGAGCCGGTGGTTAGCCAGCGGCCGACCGTCCTGCCGCACCAAGGCGGCAGTCCGGCCAGCCAATGAACCCGCCGGTTCAGACCGGGTTTTTGAACAGATCAGTGTTCAGTGATCTGGTCCGAGTTCAGTACAATATTTCAGTTAATTTTTCAGTCTAGTCAGTTCAGTATGCCGGTATCAGTTCAGTCCGGTTTTCTTGTCAGTTAAGTTAAATCCCGAGATAATATCAGTTAAATGTTTAGATCGAGTTGAGCATCTTAACAGCTATTTTCAGTCAGTCTGAGCATAGTACTTAGTATTTGTTTATTTATATATATTTTACAAATTGATCAGCAGCAGCACTTACAGTTTAGCAGTTCAGGTGGGAACTCAGAATAAGTATTACATTGATTATAATTACGCAGGCACGTTTAAAGGTATGTATATGAGATTATCCACTTTGGGTGGAGGCGCAGTAGCCTTAATTGCCCATCCAAAGTTCTGATGGAGGTACAAGGCCTTAAGTATCCATCAGAGTGTGCACATGGCGGACATAGTGTCCGAGACAGTTCAGCTCAGTTACAGACCTTGTGTCTGGAGATTACAGCTTACTTATATATACCTGCAGCCATGATGTTGTTATTATTAATGTTTACTTTAGTATGAGTTTCTGCAGAGCACAATGGCTTTAGTGCTCACGCTCCCACTTTATGATCTTTTTCAGGTGACAGGGTCGGTCTAGAGGAGTGAGCGGCGCAAGTGGTTGTTGGTCCAATAAATATGTTTTTGCAGATTTATGATATGTATATTATTTTCCATTTTGACTTCCGCTGATGTTTTCAGACTTTCAATCTGTCATGTCAGTTCTTGAATTTTGATCCGAACATTTGGTCGGATTTATACAGTATGACACACTAATAAAGGATATTCCGTTTTTCTAAATAAGTTCAATTTAACTAAGTTAACGGATTTTCAGAAAGAAATGTATTCTCTGTAGAATCCCAAATCATGTTTTCGCAAACTAATACGTATTTATTAGAAAAGAATTTACG